CCATTTCTCCCGGAAAATGGTGATAAAAATTCCATTGGTATTTTCCTCCCCTGACTCATCCTGGGGATGTCTCTGATGCTGCCTCAAGCTGTTGATGATAATGGCCTGACCACAGTAATGCGTCTGTCCGGGAGGGTAAATAGCCTCAAGCACGCTTGCTCCATGAGCTGGGGATGTGCGGCCAAGGTATGGGCTGTACCCTCTCTCATGAGCTGGGTGTGTCTGAGAGATTGGATTGATGCAAGCCTCTCCTTGGGTCCTTTGTGCTTTGAGCCAGGTTCTTCTGAGGAGTTCCTGCAGGACAGTACTGGGCTACAGAAAAAGGGTTTCCGGAGCTGGTGCCTTTCATGCCCTTGATAGAAGTAAATGCTAGGAAAAGAATGACGAGAAAGCACGAAATCCAGCTCTCTCTCGGGTGGTCCCATAAGTTTCTTGGGAGAAATGAAAGGGGCATGTAGGACAATGATTGTCCTGTTTCCTTATAAACAGGCCTCCCCCAGTCAAGGCTAAAAATACTAAACAGCAAGCACTCAGGGATCAGAGATGTGGTGTGACCCACACCTCTCTGGGCACAACCGGTATGAAATACAATCTCTTTTTTGGCCATTTCTCCTTAATGGTGGTGTTGTATAGTGAAGCCAGTGTAAACTTCCCTTTGGGACCGTGTTGGGGCTGGCATCTCCCATGCAGGTGAGATGTTCATGATCTGCCAGCACCCAAATCCAGGCTATTGATTTTGACTGTATTTATCCTGGTGTTTCTTTACTTGATTTTAACCCTCTTTCCTCACTTGCAGGACTGATTGTACCTGTACAGAGTTACTGTTCATCTCTGTCTCATTTTGTGCCTTGATGAAGATGAGAGATGGATGAGATTTTCTAGTCTCTGCCTTTTGGTACTGTTATAGTGTAATTTCTAACCCGTGTCCTCTACCTTCTCATGGTCAGGATCAAAGGAACAAAGTCCTGGACACCTGATGGCAGGTCAAAACACAGCTAGCTGATGCATCCGTCCTGCCTCTTTTCCCTGAAGACAGTCATATTTAGGCATGTCAAGGCACATTTGCAGCGTAATTAACTTACTGGACTCCAAGCAACCTATCTGTTGTTGTCTTTGTGATTAGAGCCCAAATCCTGATTAATGATGGTCCTGGATGCTGGAATTAAGTTCTCCTCCCATCTCTCATTCCTATTTTCTGTTGTGGCCCTTTGTTAATGTACATCTTCATGTCCACTTTAGAAACTATACAAATTCTGCAGAAAAATGTTGAGCTGCGCTAAAAATGGGGGAACGGGGGACTTCCTCCACCACCACCTCTTTCCCCACAGATGCATTTATCACCAGGGCAACTTAACTTTAGAGTTCACTAAAAATTCAAGCTATTGGCTTAGATCCAGGAAGGGAGAAGTTTTATAGACTGAGCTAAGTGTGAATTACAGTTATGGTTACGGCATTTTTTTTCTTTCTTTGTTGCTTTCTTTCATTATTTCTTTCTTTTTCTTTTTTAAAGAATAGCTCAACTGTTACTCTGGCACCAAAGCAGTTACAATTGCTAAGTATTTCATAATGCAGCTTTCTTCTGCTGCTTGGCAGGTCTGGGAGCAACCCTGGGGGATTTAAAAGGTGGTGCCTCTGGAAAGGGTGTTGGAGGTGGTGGTGGTGGTGGTGGGGCTAACCACTCATTTTTACACCAGGTATAAATAATTGTCCTTTTCAGACACAGAACAGAGTTCCCAGCCTAGAAGACTCTCAAGATGTCCTTGGTAATCCAGAAATGAAGGAGAAGGAGGTGTACATCTCTTCTCAGTCTTGCACCGTGCAGTTTGGCACTAAATGCAACCACTGGCTTAATTCCAGGGCTTAAAAGCAGTGTGTTAATAGGAGTTCATCCCTGCCCCCTCTCTTCTCCTCCACCATGTTCAGATGAGACAGACCTTCTAGGTCCACAGAGCAGGGCTTTCACAGCCCTGAAACTGGAAACTCTCGTTTGCGATAATCCCAATGACAAAGTGCAGAAAGAAGGGTTAGGTCACGGATCTTCGGACATCCACAGCCCGTGTTATTAGATCTACAAGTGCATGCTGTGTACAGGGGCTGCCACCCTGCAGAAGGGAGACCACCGTGGGGCTGGGGGGGCTGGTGGCATGGGACACGGGGAGTTGGGTTGGAGGGCACGTACCCAGGTCCTGTGGGGCAGGGACTCTCTAGCTGTGCCCCAAGAGATGGGCTGAGTCCTTTCTGATCTGAGTGGTGCTTGATAGGGATCCAGCACTCTGTTTTCAGAAGCGGGACAGGGCCAGGATGGGTGAACTCGCTGTTCCACTTGGAGAATAAGGAGCATGGTTGGTAGAGGATGGCAAGTGGGAGGATGGGTCTGCTCGGGAGAGGCAATGGGAAATGTTAGGTGGTTGAGGGTGGTTGAGCTAGCTGCCCATGGTGGAAGCCTCTTCCAGAGCATCAGAAGGAGTTTTCCTTGCCTTTTTTTTATTCTTTTTTCTTTTTTTTCTTTTTCTTTTTCACTGCTTCAGAATTAGGAGCTGAAGAAGAGGTCTTGCCTAATGAGCAAGTCAGTGTGTGTTGGCTGTGTTGGATTACTGGCTATTTTTAGATACTGGACGCTCTCCTTGAGAGAGTCACAGGCCTCAGTTGTTGGGTGGATCAGTTTTCAAGTAGGGTGGGGTGGGATGAGCTCAGCAGTCTGAAAGGCCATCCACAGGTAATGAGCTGCTGGCCATGGAGGGAAGAGGGGCCAAGTGAGTTCACCTGCCCTGGCTGTTTGTCCCTTCTGGTAGTGGGCCTCAACAGGGCAGGTTTCTACGATTAATATGCTCTAAGAGAGTGAGCCAACTGATCCTGATTCCACTGGCTTTCTTGTGCCAGTGGAGGATCTGCCTGCTGTACCTCAGACAAGCAGCGACTCCCTTTTGCAGTCTTTAGAAGCAGTCTATGGATTTCATCACTGTTTCAGTTACAGGAAGCATTGGCTGATTATTATTAGGATTATGGATAAATTCAGGCTGAAAGGAACCTCAGGAGGTCATCTAGTCCAACCTCCTGGTGGGGCAAATTGGAATTGCAGCCAGGGCTTGCCCACAGCCTGTGAGATATGGCTGGTAGGAGCCATGATATGGCTGGTAGGAGCAGTCAGGTACTTACTGGTGCTGGCTGGACTTAAAAATTATTTCTCCAGACTTGGCCAAACGCAGATTTGCAAATTTACATTTTTCCATTGCACTCAGAGTGATGCAGACTTACATTACCTTGTGTTTCTTCACAGGATTTCTCTTAGACACCTACAGATTCCCAGTGCTGGCCATCTCCAAGGCTGAGACAGCAATCACAGTCACTCCTTTTCCACCACCCTTGTACAAGAACTCGTTAGGTCAACAAGGGATGGGTTGGTTTTCAAGTGCATTTAAGGAAAACAAAACAAAACAAGACAAAAAGCCTGCCTCAGGAGATAAACTTCTGCTAGAAAGTATATGGTACAGTATAGAAGTTTATGGTATGTAAAAACTTTTTGCCTTTCACTGTACTGTGTCTGTAAGTACATAAATACATATAAATATGTGGATGAGAGAGAAGACAGTGGTTAAATGGAGGCATTTTCTGCAAGAACTGAATGTCAAATCACAAATGATCCAGACATTGGTGTTCTAGCTTCAGCAGACCTGTTTACCAGCCACTTTGTTCCTTTCTTTGTCCACGGAGACAACTACCATATCGCAAGTAAATATTGCTGCATTCTCTGCTCCCCTTTCTTGCTTGTCTACACTTTACCCAGGGGAGAAGAGAGAAGAGCCAGCTGTGAATGACACAGCGTAAACAAATCTATTTCAAAGAAAAATTGTGCCCGAGCAGGAGTGGCCTGTTCCTGAGAGCTTTGAAAACTGCCATTGCGTTCTTGCTGGGAAGGCATGACAGTACAAGTTTCTGTCCCTTGCAGTAATTATCCCCTTGTGCACACAGGCATTAAGGCTTTTGGTCAGGGGCCATGTGTATGAAAGCCCATGGACTAACATGCCTTTTTCCTCTGGATGAGACCTCACTGCTGGCCAGCAGTCTGAGAGAACGCTTTGCAGCTGGAGGAGCTCATTAAATCTAGTCCCATTAAATCTGTAAGAGCTGCAGATGATGCAACAGCTAGAAAGCTGCTCTGATCTGTCCTGTGCTATCATCAGGCGCAGCAACAGGGAACCAAGATGTATATGGCTGCTTCCCTGCCTGTGAGCAGACACAGAGGGGGTCACAGAGAGCCCATGTAGCTGGATGCAGTTGTAGACTGGGGTTAGAAACCAAGGAAAGAATGTGGAGGAGCCCAATGCAGGGTGGTGGATCTATTCTGTCAGGACGCTTGCAAACTCAGCAAAGGCATCTCCCAAAGAGTGGCCAGTCCTGGCAAGCCCACCTCAGAAAGTTCTGCCCAAGTCCATCTCAGTCCTAGAAAGCACTTCAGAAACATGGGGAGCACAGGCCAACCAAGCTGAGGCCTGGAGCTACACCTAGCCCCGTTGTCTGGTTTCCAGATCTGGTCCCTTTGACTCAAGAAGGGCCAAATAGACATTGAGTCAGGTTTCCAGATTGTCAGCCAATTCATTCCATGGGACATTTCTTGGCCCCAGGTCTGCCTCATCTAATGGCATAAGGACTGCAGGCAGGGGATGGTGGCTGTGCTAGCCAGCACTGATGATTTCTGAAAATCCCATTGATTCCTTTCCCCTTTTGATCTTCCACCAGGCAAGGCAAACGGGTTTGATTTGCAGATCTCTCCTCTGGATCGCTCGAGCCCAAATAATAACATTTACAGGAAAATGTGTTTGCAGCCAAAGTCTGGCGTCTGTGGACTGATATCCTGCCATGGAGCAGCCGGAGTGGAGCTGCAGGAAAGCTAGATGGATTACCACCATTCCCCTCTGGCACTGGGGACTCAAAAACGTGCACTCAGAAGCCGAGGGTGTGTTTCAAACGCTTGGAAAGCGGCTCTGCGCCAGGGCGTCAACATGCTGAGCTGCTACAGCAGCTTGCCTGTGAGGATTGCCCCGGGAGGAGGTCGGGTTTGCTGCAAGTCGCTTTCCTGGTAAACCTTTTGTGTGTGCGTGCATCTTTCCATACAGCTTCTCCTCCTTTTGCAGTCCCAAAGCGTTGTGCCTGTGCGGGCACCTAACAAGTCCACTACTCCTTTTTGAGGGTGCCGGTTTGCGTGCTGTAGTTGAGGCTGCATGGTGGAGTTTGAGCAAAGCAGCAGCTTTCTGCTCAGGCCCTGTGGGCCTGTTTCTCGGTAACCATTTTCACAACCACCTCACCTTCCTGCTCGCTCCCCAGCCACTGTGGCTCTCTCCACCTTCACACATGGGCTGTTTTCTCCATCAGGCTCGTGGCAACCTGGCAGAAGACCCCAGGAGCTGTGCTTGCAGGGAAAAACAGAATACTCTCACATAAAAGATTCTCTGCAGCTTTTAGCTGTGAGAAACCTTGTCTAGTCTAAGAAAGCCTCTTACCCCTGTACTCGGCACTGGTGAGGCCGCACCTCGATGACTGGGTTCAGTTTTGGGCCCCTCACTACAAAAAGGCCATTGAATGACTCGAGCGTGTCCAGAGAAGGGCAACGGAGCTGGTGCAGGGTCTGGAGCACAGGTCTGATGGGAGCGGCTGAGGGAACTGGGGGGGTTTAGTCTGGAGAAGAGGAGGCTGAGGGGAGACCTCATCGCCCTCTACAGCTCCCTGAAAGGAGGGTGCAGAGAGGGGGGGATGAGTCTCTTGAACCAAGGAACAAGAGCCAGGACAAGAGGGAATGGCCTCAAGCTGCACCAGGGCAGGGTCAGACTGGCTATTAGGAAGCATTTCTTCCCAGAAGGGGTTGTTGGGCGTTGGAATGGGCTGCCCAGGGCAGGGGGGAGTCCCCATCCCTGGAGGGGTTGAAGAGTCGGGTTGACCCAGCGCTGAGGGATCTGGTGGAGTTGGGAACGGTCAGTGTGAGGGTCATGGTTGGACTGGAGGAGCTTCAAGGGCTTTTCGAACCTAGACGATTCAGTGACTCTGTGAAAAGCAAACCCGTCTGCTCCACCAGCTTGCAAAACACTTGGCATCCCCGCTGCAGAGACTGCTCCAGGGACTGGAGACGCCATCGTAAATTATCAGCCCCGTTTTCTGCCGGTTGCTGGAAGAACCACCTCCCCGGGCCCCTCGTCCAGCGACCGAGCGGTGCCGGGCTCAGGGCCCCGGGCCGGGCCGCCTCAGCCT